TATATAAAAGGCTAAGTGTCCATCTTTCCGACCGTTAGCTATGTTGCACACTGACCACCAGGGGGCAGACGCTCAACACAGGAGCTGCCATGATGCGCACTGGCCATTTAAAAATAAATAAAGGCAACATGGACCTGGTGCCGACAAACCAACACTTGGCTTCCCCCAAGTGGAACACAGGCCCCACCACCACCCTGGAGCAACACCCCACCAAATTGCAGCCAACGCTGCCAAGACCCCATGGCACAAAATGTGGCCCACAGCCCAGCCCGGAAGTGGTGGCTGTGGGTGCCGGGTAATGATGTCACATAGCAATGCCCAGCTTCCTCTCCCTAGCGACTAGCCTCCTTGGAGTTTCTTCTGCCCAGGAACCCGATTTGCATTATAGCCAGGTGCAAACATTTTACAGTTTAACCAAACGTATGTGAAGCATTTTCCCATGCCTCATCTCATTTGATCCTCACAGAAGTCCTGGAGTAGGTAGATAGGAGACTCAGTAGAATCCTATTTTCTTTTCATTAGCCGGAAAACAGAGATTTAGAAACTTGACCCAACTGAAAAGAAGTAAGAAATGGTGGAACTTGAAAATGACTTCAGGTTTTCTCACTGCTCAGAATATAGTCAAACACTGCTGCAGTTAAATATTTTACCCTTTGTTCTCCCTGCGTGATCTACAATAATAATCTGCTTCATGTTGATATTTACTGCTGTGTTGCTGACAATTACCTGAAAGAGAAGTTGGGGTCCTTCACTGGGCTGGAAAAATTTTAGTTAAATCAGAAAGCAGGTCTAATTAAGCAAGTTTATTCTATATCTATAAAAGGTTAAGTTGACTCGCGCATGCACGATACATATAAAGCTAACGCTGGTGCTAGTTGCATGCATGTGTTTCCATCTGTCATTGTCGATTGTGAATTTGGTTGACACTTCCATTGTAGAGAAAGGGCGAATAGCAATATTAAAATATTTCTTCTAATTAATTTTCTTTCATTGTGCACCAATCTGTGCACCAGGACACTAGTAGATTTATATAAGAAGTTATATTTATATACAAGGAGAATGATCACTTTTTGGCTAAGATCAAGTGTATGTACAAGGAAAATGAATTGTCTTAAATTATAAACTGTCAAGTATCTCGTGGTAAGGTGGTATGGAGATGCCAAGAAAACTGTTAGCGAAAGTAATACAATTGAAACTGAGTAGGATAAATGTGCTATTGGAAAGGAATATCAAACATGCAATTCTTTGGGATAGGTAGAGGCTTTCAGGCAGATTGTAGGCACAAAGAACAACACTGTACATTTACAGTGTTTGTTGGGTTAGTATGTTTGTGCTTCCATTGCCTCGCACTGGAATATGAAAGTTCTCCCTGGCCTGGCCCAGCCTGTCTCCTGCCACTTTCTCCACTGAAGCTATCATTCTGGTGAAATGATCTCAATGTCATAGATACCTCATTTTATTTTACTCTAGGAAAAACATGCCTTGTTGTTTGAGGTGCTTGGTGTGCATTAGGAATTCTAGAAAGTATGTGGTAGATAAAGGAATTTATTACCAAAGAGATATTGTCATCTTCATACTCCTCGATACCAAAAAAATACCCCATTTTATTTTCAAATTCATCATTGCCACACTATCAGCTTTTTACCACCAGTTTGAACTGCACTTTGTCCAGCTAGGGCTGACATATAATTCTTGTAAGACATCTTTGCTTAGTGAGAAAAAAAATTTTAAATCAAGCATTAAGTGACATTATAACCAGATTCATTAATTGGAGTGTAGAATAACCATGTGACAAACACTTTATTAGGTACTTATCAAAATACAGAGAATTTCCAATCAAACTCTAACTGAAAAAAAATTTAGATTGCCATCAAGCTGCCTTAAATGTTTCCTATAGTTTTTCTAAGCCATTTTCAGAATTTAGAATATAGTATTTTATAATATGCCCTAAAATTTATGTATAACAGAATATAAAATTATAGTTGCACATTGGAGTAGATACTTGTATTCTAGAGAGGTATTATTCATCTTTGCATTTTAACCTGAAATATAATTAATTAGGCAAGGCAGACATTGAGTTTCCTTTTTGTTTGTCATCTAAGTCGTAGACCTGATTTTGAAGTGGCATCCAAACTCTGTAGTCTCTTTATCTGTACAAGCAAAGGTAAGACTGTTGGCCTCAGTTTCACAATCCATATCATTGATTAGTAAACTTTTACCTATTTTATCAGAATGTGCTGTCAGTGGTCTAAAATAAAACTATCTACTCTGTGAGAAACTCTTAACATATTTATTTTCTTTGGAATTTGTCAATATAAAGTCCAAATAGATAGTATAATAACATGAGGCTTCAGAAAGGGACTTTCGGACCCTTCCTGTTACTGCCTCTTCATTTTCTGCTTTCTATTTAAGATTTGTCAGCTGTCAAACGACCAGCTCTCTTTCCCCTGCCCTACCTACTCTCTGTATTTTATATTAATGTATTTTTGTATCGGGGCCATCTGGCTAGGCCTCAGACATTCCACAGCTACCTAGAGGACATCATTAACTACCGCTGGGAACTAGAGGAAGGGAAACCCAACCCGCTGAGAGAAGCCAGTTTCCAAGACCTGCCTCTTCGTACGCGTGTGGAGATCCTACACCGCCTCTGTGATTACCGGCTAGATGCAGATGATGTCTTCGATCTTCTCAAGGTGCTTAACTGGCAAGCCCTAGCCCTAGAGCAGCAATTTTCAACCTTTTCATCTCATGGCACACTAAAATTTCTCAGCACACCAAAAAATACATTTTTGTCTGATCTGACCAAAAAATAGGTATGATTTTGATAAATTCACATAGAATGGGTATTAATAGCTGTTGTCCTTTTTTTTTTTTTTTTAATGATCTAAGGCAGTGGTCGGCAAACTGCGGCTCACGAGCCACATGCGGCTCTTTGGCCCCTTGAGTGTGGCCACGAAGTTTCAATCGCACTGTATGTGCGTGCCCGCACATGGTATTTTGTGGAAGAGCCACACTCAAGGGGCCGCAGTTTGCCGACCACTGATCTAAGGGAAAAGAGGTCATTGCCCCTATCTAAATAGTCAGGTATTTCATGTTTTAAAATTCTTGCAACACCAGTTGAAAATCGCTGCCCTAGACGAAGAAAAACACCAACATGTTTCCTAAAGTCTGAAATTTGATTTAACATAATTAAAATATTGAAAGTCGAAGACTTTAACACGTTTATGCAAGTGAAGTTTGTCCCTACATGTTTTTATACACATTATAAAAAAAGTGCTAGAGAAGGAAGGTATAGTTCTTCGCTCCCCCTTATTCTATTGTTATCTATTTAGAAGTCTGTCTCAGATTGGGAGGGTGTAGACTATTGCTTTTCATTCATAGGAAGGTCAATTTCTAATCCTGTTCAGTTAGAAATGATCAAATATATTGATGACTTCTCAGTTCAGCCCTACTCATGTACATGATATAAAAATCATTGTGCAATTTAGCACAGTCTACTGAAAACTCAAGGACTTTAATAGCAATGACCCTGGGGTAAAGTGGGTACTGTAGTTTATGATAGATCTACAATAGAGGATCATGTGAGACACCTTTCATACAGCAGATTCTGCTCTGTTGTAATTGTCTTTTCTTTTATGGATGCACACATAAAATAAGTCAAGCCAAATATATAATGCTAGAGGCCCAATGCACGAAATTCATGCAAAAGTGGGCCTTCCTTCCCCCAGTTGCCGGGACCTGGGCTTCCCTCTGGCTGCCGGCACCCCGGACCCGGGCTTCCCTCGCAGAAGGAGGCCCTGCCCACCCGCCGCAGCCTGCCTGTCAGTGGCCTGAGCCTCCCTCTACAGCAGTGGCTCTTAACCTTCCTAATGCCGCTACCCTTTAATACAGTTCCTCATGTTGTGGTGACCCCCAACCATAAAATTATTTTCATTGCTACTTCATAACTGTAATTTTGCTACTGTTATGCATCGTAATGTAAATATCTGATATGCAGGATGTATTTTCATTGTTACAAATTGAACATAATTAAAGCATAGTGTTTAATCACAAAAACAATATGTAATTATATATGTGTTTTCTGATGGTCTTAGGCAACCCCTGTGAAAGGGTCATTCGACCCCCAAAGGGGTCGTGACCCATGGGTTGAGAACAGCTGCTCTACAGGGTGATCATGGGGTGATGGCTGGGCCCCCGACCAATTGCATCACACCCACCTTGACTGGCCTGGCACCAGTGAGTGTCATAGTGTGGTCCCGGATGGTCATTCCGCTGTTCAACTGTTTGGTCAATTTGCATATTATGCTTTTATTATAAAGGACTAGAGGCCCGGTGCATGAAATTCGTGCACGGGGAGGGTGAGGGTGGGAGGGGCGTCACTCAGCCCAACCTGCAGCCTCTCCAATCCAGGAGCCCTCAGGGGATGTCCTACTGACGGCTTAGGCCCGCTCCCCGTGGTTCTCTGCTCTCTGCGGGGCCTGCCTGCTCCACACCATGGCGATGGGCAAAGCAGGCCCTGCTGGGCGCTGCCTGCGGGCCGCGCTTGCCTGCTCCAGGTCGCCACACCGATGCCTGCTGGGCTCACATTGCTGGGGTGACGCTGCCAGCGTCCTGCCCCGGCTGCTATGGGCACCACCATCTTTGTCACTGAGTGGCGGTTAATTTGCATATTACTCTTTCATTAGATAGGGTGTTCATCAAAATTCCTTTTGATTTCTTTTTTGTAGATGAAATGGGAGCAGTGATGGGGATGGGAAGCATTCTATGTGTATTTCATATGCCCTGATTGAATATTACTTAGGTACTTGGGCATGTTTAAATATAAGGTATATCTGAGTATAAATTTGGAATCCTCATTAAGTTTTCTCCTCTTTTGTTCCCCATATCCCCAAACCTCTTTTTCCTGTTCTTGAACCTAGGGTCTAGATGCAGACAGTCTCCGTGTGGAGCCATTAGGTGAAGATAATTCTGGGGCACTATATTGGTATTTCTATGGAACTCGAATGTACAAGGAGGACCCAATACAAGGAAAATCCAACAGAGAACTCTCTTTGAGAAGGTACATTGTTTAAGATCAGAGCTTTGGTAGCTAGTGTACAGAGATGTCATTAAAACTAAATGCATCAGCAGCACTATTTTTTTTTCTTATTAAGGAATTAATTATGACAGCACACCTGCAAAGAGATAAAAAGGGAGTTGTTTCATACAGAAATAAAAAGGAATTGAACTGTAGCCACTAATAGCAAGTGGTGAAATCTGTTTTGCTGTGAGGTTTCTGAGGAGCACCACTTCCCTTATCAGAGACTGTTCTATACAGCAGGTTCTTAGCAGTACAGTCATTTCACTGCCATTGTTTTCCTCTTTTGTACTCAATGTCTGAACCATAGTCTTACTAACTACTCTTAACACATTTCATACCGCATAGAAATCTCTAAGACATACGCCAGGGACTGCACATTTTTGGGCAAACTGCACGTTATTTAAATCATCATAACTACAGATCATAATGCACTTTAGGTGTTGTTTTTCAATAATTATAACATTTTTATTTACAAAAACAATTAAACAATTAAAGTTCCTAGTACTTTTTTAACGTATGGTACTGCGTAAAACATTTTCTAAAAGCGCCAGGAACTTGAAGACGAAGACTATTCGAATGACCAAAATACAATGTAACTGCAATGCTTTATGGGTTCGTGCAATTATATAGTTTTTCGTAGATTGACCTGCACGGTTTCCACCAATGAGATCGCTTCATTCGATGTGGACAAGACAGTGTGTTGACATCTAAGGTCCATAACAGATGGCGCGTGAAAAACAAGAAAACTCGTGAGCGCTTAACAGATGGCGCGCGAAACACGAGAAAGCTCGTGAGCAGTACGAAAGGTGTTAAATGAGGAAGAGTCCTTTCCATAGCATCCTGTAATGATGCTACCATCTTTTCTTATTGCTGGGAGCAGTGCTCACTATTAGGAAAGTGTTAGGTCTTACTCAGATTTTAATATTGTAAAATGTCAGTTTTCCTTGATTCAATATTCTAATGGAAGATTGGACGTCACCCTGCCCTTTCCCTATGATGGCTGTATTTAACACGTTAAGCGCCCAGTCAGTCACCAGTGACTGACACTATACTTTCCATCTGGAAGACAAAACAGGCTGGGCGCTTAACATGTTAATCTATTTCAGTAGCCTCATGGCTAGGAAAGCTGTACTTACAATACATCAGTACTATGATAAAACATTTCTATTTAATATGCTGTTTCTTAGGGAAAGTGAAGGACAAAAAAATGGCTCAGGTATTCTTGGGAAAACAGGAAAAAGAAGAGGAAGACCCCCCAAACGGAAGAAACTACAGGAGGAAATTATAGTGAGGTAAGACAATCTTGTTAGTCCTTGACGGTTTTAGATCCTCTTGCTGAAAGGAACCTATTTTCACTTGTTCCTCATGCCATGAGAAGGACATGGGACCTAAATGATGGAGACCTGGATCAGAATCCTCATGGAATTATAAGTGTGTACTAGGAAATCAGAAACCCTAGCTGCATGACCTCTAGCAAGTTACCTATTTTCTAAGCCTATTGTTTTATTGGACAGTGGACGTACTAATAGGAATGATGATTAACTTGAAGTAGACAATGAATGTGACAGTGTAACAGTTTGAAAAACTATGCTCATTCAGTATGTATTAACTTCTAAAAAATTTGTTGTGTCACACATTTTTATAGGAACATGGAGCAAATTAATTCTGTGATTGTGTTAATAATCAGCATTTTAATAGACATATCTTATATAAGTTTAGGGTTAGTTCTTTCCCATTAGGGAGATTTTAGTAGCAAACCTGCTTTGTTTTGTTTAGAATTCAATTTCCTAAAATAAAGGCAAGTTATTAAACATGTTTTAAAGTATTTTATATTTAATTTTAGCAAAGAAAAAGAGATTCTGTTACATTTGGGAATTTTTAGAGGCCTGGTGCACGAAATTCGTGTGGGGGTGGTGGGGTGTCCCTTCAGCCCAGCCTTCACCCTCTCCAATCCAGGACCCCTTGGGGGATGTCTGCAGGGATTGGACCTAAACTGGCAGTCAGACATCCCTCTCACAATCCTGGACCGCTGGCTTCTAGCTGCCCCCCCTGCCAGCCTGATCACCCCTAACCGCCTCTGCCTGCTGGCCTGATCTCCCCTAACTGTACCCCCTGCCAGCCTGGTCGCCCCACGCAGCCTGCTGTTCAGTCATTTGGTTGTCCCTCACTACCCCGCCTGCTGGCCTAGTCGCCCCACTCAGCCTGCTGTTTGGTCATTCGTCCGGTTGTTTCGGTCATGACAGCCCCTGGCTTTTTATATATTAGGATGTCATTATCTTTTCGGAAATTGCAGCATGTGAATCTTAGTGAAGGGTTTTCAGAATCTGACCTATACTGTGTAAATATACTTAAGGATCATATCTGTTATTATACACCTGTGGAAGTTAGGTCGTATTCTTAAAAACGAATGACACGTCAATCTGCTCATTCCCTCTAAATTTTAGCATTGATAAATAATCTAAATGCTTGAAGTAAGCCAGATTTTTTACTGTGTTATTTATTAACCACTAAAAAGTATTTCTAGGAATCAGATTATGAATAAAACTATCAGAATTTGATTTTATTTTACATTTAAGAATCAGTATTCTGCTTAACTTTCCAGAAATTAGACCACAGATTGCAGCTTTCCTTCCACAGTGTTTCTGAGAAATGTCCTATAATTATGTTCTGTACACACAACATCTGTTTCTGGATTTTGTTAGCAATCTATACCTCCTTAAGTATTCAAAAAGCTGCTTCATATCTATCTCCATTTCTCTATAAGTGAAATTAAAGTACCTTAGTGTTAGGAATACAGTAAACCCTCAATTTTGCACACCTCAATTTAATGGACTTTGGATTTAATGGACAAAATTTCCAGTCCGTATGTCATATGTGAAAATTAACACCTTGTTAATTTTAAAATGCTTTTAACCAAGACTTGCCACAGGTTATTTTTGTTGTTGTTATTAATTCACTAGGTTTTTTTGTGTGTGCTTTTTTTTAACTGATTTCACAGAGAAGAAGGGAGAGAGGGAGAAAGAGATAGAAACTTAGATGAGAGAGAATCATCAATTGGCTGCCTCCTACATGCCCTCCACTGGGAATACAGCCCACAATTTGGGCATGTGCCCTGGCTTGGAATTGGACTGTGACCTCCTGTTTCATATGTTGATGCTCAACCACTGAGCCAGGGCTTCACTGTTATTTTTAACAGATTTTCGCGAACAGGCCATATTTTGAAAAAAACACTTTAGTAATTTTGCCAACATAATAAGTATTACATATCTACAAGTATAGTCTACATTTAAATCCAAGAGTCACCTCTTATAAACAATGTTCAACAAATGAATAGCACGTGGTCACACCACATCTCGCAGGTAATTGGTTCTGTTGTCACTTGGTGTGACTTTCTGCAGCAGTTTCTACTTGTACCATGGATGTTCCCACATGCACTAAGCCACGCCCCAGCCACGTGCATTTGTTTACTCGCAGTGACTGGTGAATACAGCATTTATTGGATCGCTTCAGTATAAATTTAAAATTACAGTTATACATATAGAAAACTGAAATTAAACTTTCCATACATAGTTAATTTTAATTATACAAATGTGTCTACATTAGTTAAAACAGGTAAACTAAACTAATTTGTCAATTTTTAACATACACATTCAGAAAACCTACTTTATTATATAACGAACTTTCGGCTTTAATGGACAGTCCTCACCCAAATTAGTCCATTATATTGAGGTTTTACTGTTTAGAATCTTTTATCAAGCATACATAGACTTGTGCCTCTAACAGTGATTTTATTCTTGATAGCTCTATATTTAAATATTTTTATATTAAATAATATTTAAAATTCAGTTCCTCAGTCACATCAGCCACAGAACATTTAAGTGCTCTGTGGCCACGTGTGGCTCATGGCTACCAAATTGACAAACAATATAGCACATTTTTATTCGCACAGAAAGTTCTGTGGAACAATATGTCTAGTATGACTCAGGGTACAAATAATTATGATCCTTAACACTCATGCTGAACATTTTCACATTTTAGAATTTTAATGCCCATCATCCCTGTAAGGTCAGCATATTAACAACTCCATTTTATAGAAACATTAATTAATTTTCACAAGGTCATGGTTAGTGCCAAGTCTTGTTCTTAACCTATGTCCTTAACCTCTACCTTATATGAGGCTAAATTTAAATATAGGATTGGCAAAAGGAGGTTTACAGTTGTTAATATGTGAAACACAGTTAATTCTTGTATTATTATTTATTAATTATTTATTTGTATTACAACTGCAAACCTATTTTTGCCCACCCTTGTATGCCGTATCTTCAGTGTAGCTTTGAGTTAAGGGAGGACAACATTGGAATCTTTATACTTCTTTTTTTCTTGGTATTTAACTGTTAACACTTTATAGTTCTTTTTTTCCCCCTCTTGGTATTTAACTGTTAACACTCCTCTATTTGATATTTTTTGATGTTTTAAAAGTTAATATTTTTCTATGATTGATGTTACCATGACAATGAGTCCCTATGTCAGTTTTTTCTCTCTATTCCAATACATCTACATCCTAGTATTCATTTTTTCAGTAGTCATTTCTTATAACCTTACCCTCTTGATACACACACACACACACACACACACACATTTAGTTGGATCTACCTGATAGGGGAAATAACAGTTTTGAACATGTCTGTTTAATTGTTAATCTCTTTTTCAGTGAGAAGCAGGACAAAAATTCCATGGCATCTGAGCCACAGACAAGAAATGGTAATGACCTCTGCTGGAGTTTTTGGAAAGGATTAAGTCAATGCAATTTATTTGTATTGTGATGGGGATTCTCATTTTCCAGAGTCATACACCGCAGTTAAGATTATTGCAGTACCATCTAACTAGCCTTGTTGCCCTTCAGTTCTCTCTTCCTTGTACTTTATTCTGTGCCCGTCTCTCCTGAAGGATAACTTTATATCAGGAGTAGTTCTTTTCACTTTTGCCCTGTTACCTGGCTTCAGTGTAATATCTACCCAAACATTTAGGTGAATGAGCAACTTCTGAAAGAGCAAGCAATCTTTTTAATGTAAAATGCTTTACTACATAAGAGAGTATACTGGTTTCCTATTGAGATTTCAATTTTGTAATCCAAATCGCATAATTTGGAGGAGAATATAAATTTAATAATAGTATCTTAATGTCTGTGAAATGGGGAAGACGCTGCAAAAGGTCAAATCAAAACTCTTTGCATAGGAAAAAATAAACATTTAAGCATTTCTACTATATTCACATCTACCCTATAAAGGTCACAAAAGTTATATTTATATTGCTTTTGGTCAGTATTCACTGTTAGCTGTAAACAGTGATAGTAACAGGAAAATCAAAAGTATACATTATCAATCTTCAAATTAAAAAGGAATAGGTCTTTTATTCTGATTTCCTGGTTTTGTTCATGAGCCAGAGTAAAAAAAAAATTGAGAATAAATAGGAAAAGAGGATTTATTTAATGAACCCATCCCTTTCTTTTTCCGGGTCCCAAGGGCCAGGTCAAGGCACTTGGTGGCTCCTGTGCCAAACAGAAGAAGAATGGAGACAGGTCACTGAGAGTTTTCGAGAGAGGACCTCCCTTCGAGAACGGCAGCTCTATAAGCTCCTCAGCGAGGATTTCCTACCCGAGATCTGCAACATGATTGCCCAGAAGGTATGCAAAGGAAAAGTATTCCTCCCCTCTGTATTAGGTGTAAAGCTTCATTGTTTTAAGGATTATTCATTAGAGCTTTTAATACATTCCACTGTCTCCTGGATGTGGTATGACCTTTATCCTTTCTTCTCTGGAATATTATAATGGGACCTCATGTCACTCATGGGCCTTGACTGTGGACAACATAATTTAATTCTCCTTATCCAAGAAGTCCTAAACCCTCCACACCCACCCCCTACTTCATTACTTAGAGTGGCTTTTCACAATCAGGAAACATTCCCTGAACCCTCAGGTGTGTCTCATATCACCCTCTGCATAACTCTCTATATATGCTTTTTTCCCCATCATCATCTTATTGTCTGTCTCTTTTCCCCTAAGCAACAATCTCTAACAAGTATTTGTCTTTGTATGTCCAGTGCCAGCTCTTTTTCCCAGCTCCATCTGAGCTGTATGCCCTCTTCTCCAACTTCAGGGCAAGTTGTAGTTTCATAAACCATACAGCCTATGTTTTCATGTATATGCATCCTAATTTCTGACTTTTGCAAACATCTTTTCCCCTCTACTTTCCTACCCATTCAAATACTTCTCTCCCAAAAACTCCACTTAAAGTCATTATTTCCTTGAGCTGTCCATTGCTCCTAGTCTTAGGATTGTCCTCCCTAACATGTTAATTCATCCCTTACTTAATTCCATTGTGAATTTAAGCTTCTTTAGATTAAGGACTATGTCCTACTCATCATTTCGACCCCCACAGCACCTAATGTAATGTCTTTCCGTGGTGGGTGCTCAGTAATAATTTGCTTTGCTTGTTTCATTTCCATAATTCTAATACATGTTAATAGAAGACAGAAAAAATTTGACAGCCTGCCAATAAAATAAGAAGAGAAAATATTTATAAATTACTAGGGGCCCAGTGCACGAATTCATGCACCTTGAAAGGAACTGTGGGCCACGAGGCTACAGCGGGCACAGGGGCGGGTCTCAGCCCATCCTCCGCATTCCCGCTGCCTTCACTCCCACACGCTGACAGCTCCAGCTCCACTTGCACCCACTGACAGCACAGAGCGATTGGGGCCAGCACCAGCAGCAGGTGCAAGCAGTGGCTGCTGCCCCAATCACCCTTCAGGAGCAGGGGGAGGTGGAGAAGCCCTCAGGGGCAATCGGACCGGAAGCCGTCACTTGCACCCACGGCTGCACCAGTCTGCATTCCCACCAGCAGTATACTACAGTTCCCTTTTCTTCACATCTTCACCAGTTATTTTTTAGTATATTTTTATTTATTTGAGAGGGGAAAGGAGAGGGAGAGAGAGCTAGAAACATCAATGATGAGAGAGAATCATTGATCGGCTGCCTCCTGCACACCCCCCACTGGGGATCAAGCCCGCAACCCTGGGCATGTGCCCTTGATCAGAATCAAACCCTTCAGTCCCCATGCCACACTCTATCCACTGACCCAAACAAGCTAGGGCTCATTTGTTGATTTGTTAATGGTAGCCATTCTGACAGGTGTGAGGTGATACCTCATTGTTGTTTTAATTTGCATCTCTCTGATGATCAGTGACTTTGAGCATTTTTTCATATGTCTCTTGGCCATCTGTATGTCCACTTTGGAGAATAGTCTATTTAGTCCTTTGCCCATTTTTTTATTGGATTGTTTGTCTTCCTTTTGTTAAGTTGCATGAGTTCCTTATATATTTTATATATTAACCCTTTATCCGATATATCATTGCCAAATATATTCTTCCATACCGTGGGCTCCCTTTTCATTTTGTTGATGGTTTCTTTTGCTGTGCAAAAGCTTTTTATTTTGATGTTGTCCTATTTATTTTCTCCTTAGTTTTCTTTGCTTTAGGAGATGTATCTGTAAACATATTGCTACAAGAGATGTCTGAGAATTTGCTGCCTATAGTTTCTTCTAGGATTTCTATTGTTTCACAACTTATATTTAAATCTTTTGTCCACTTCTGGTTTATTCTTGTGTATGGTATAAGTTGGTGGTCTAGTTGCATTTTTTTTTTTGCATATATCTGTCCAAGTTCTCAACACCATTTATTGAAGAGACTGTCTTGACTCCTTTGTCAAATATTAATTGAGCATAATGAGTTCTCCTGTACTGTCCCATTGATATATATGCCCATTCTTGTGCCAGGCAGTTTAAGTATAACTTGACATCTGGTATTGGGATTCCTCAACATTGTTCTTTCTCAAGATTGCTGAAAATATTCAGGGCCTTCTTTGGTTCCATATAAATTTTGGAGTATTTGTTCTAGATCTGTGAAATACGTCTTTGGTATTATAATAGGAATTGCATTGAATCTGTAGATTGCTTTGTGTAGTATGGACATTTTAATGATGTTAATTCTACCAGCCAATGAACACAGTATTTTCTTCCACTTGTTTTTGTCTTCCTCTATCTCTTTTTTCAACGTCCTGCAGTTTCCCAAGTACCAGCTTTTTACCTACTTGGTTAATTTTATTTGTAAGTTTCCTAATTTTTTCTGTTGCAGTGGTAAATGGAATTATTTATTTAGTTTCTCTTTCTGAGAATTCATTATTGGTATATAAAAATGCCATGGATTACTGGGGCTTAATTTGTATCCTGCTATGTTGCCAAATTCATTTATTAAATCTAGTCATTTTTTGATGGAGTCTTTAGGGTTTTCTATGTACAGAATCATGTCATCTGCGAATAATGAGAGCTTTACTTCCTCTTTTCCAGTTTGGATGCCTTTTATGTTTTCCTCTTGTCTGATCACTGTGACTAGGACTTCCAGTACCATGTTGAATAAAAGTGATGAAAGCAGACATCCCTGTCTTGTTCCTATTCTTAAGGGAAAAGGTTTTAGTTTTTGCCCACTTAGTATGATGTTTGCTGTAGGTTTCTCATATGTTGCCTTTATTATGTTGAGATATGATCCCGCTATTCACATTTTTCAGAGTTTTTATCAAAACTGGTTGTTGGATTTTGTTGAATGCTTTTTCTGCATCTATTGATATGATCATGTGATTGTTGTCTTTCAGTCTGTTTATGTGATGTAGCACGTTTATTGATTTAAGGATATTGTACCAGCCTTACATTCCTGGAATAAACCCCACTTGGTCATGCTGTATGATCTTTTTAATATATTGCTGGATACAATTTGCTAATATTTTGAGGATTTTAGCATCTATGTTCATCAGGGATATTGGCCGGTAATCTTCTTTCTTTATAGTGTCTTTATGTGGTTTTGGAATTAGGATAATGCTGGCCTCATAAAAAGAGTTTGGAAGTGTTCCTTGGACTTTTTGGAATAGTTTGAGGAGTATACATGTTAATTCTTTGAATGTTTGGTAAAACTCCTATGAGAAACCATCCAGACCAGAACTTTCGTTTGCTGGGAGTTTTTTTATATT